TTGGGTAAATGTGTACATAAAACATATCACCACCTGTGTTTGTGATCGTTTGTGCTTTAAGAATCCAATCAGCACTCATGTTTTGGAGCACTTTGTAATCACATTGCGAATATTTGGGACTACTATGAGACTCTTTTGAACTCTGACCCCACTGACCTTCTACATCCAGAGATAAAGATCCCTGCTGACACAGCAAAGACAAATTAATCTCAAGAGGTGTCTGTCCCAGTGGTAAAAATGTACAGAAATTCAAGAAAAGTGCAGCTGTTACTAGTAAAAGTCACCCTGATAGGTGATCCAGTGGTTTAATAGTAAGAGTTGATCCTTTTCCCAAACATATCAAGTCTGTCACGATTATAAAATTTTACTGGATGATAAATTGTCCCAGAAATTATTGGGATAAGCAATAATATTTTTGATTTGAGATGAATTTTAAATAATATGATATTGGCATAATAATCCAAGAATTGCACTATTTATTAGTCTCTCAAACATCGATAAGATTGAATTTCTAAGAACAATTAAAATACAATTTAATAATTTTAAATACCCAAAACAAAAAACTCTAAACAAAAAATAAAACGGAAATAAAATCAAAACGCAACCAAAACCATAAACATAATGGATTATAAAGTCTCTGTAAAACTATCAATAATTAAGCTCAGACAGGTAAACAGACAAAACTACCAGTTTTAATTTATTATACAATTAATTGATTTATTGCGACAGGCTTACATATCATAATACTAAGCACCATCATGTCATACTGACAAACTTTTATGTGGAAGTCCCTTAGTCCAGGGAAGTGGACTTCGTTAACCATGTTCGGAATCAGTGAAGAGCTTAAAAATTACATTAGGGAAACTACGAAAGGTGCAAAACATTTCTTTAAAGGCGTGTTGGCTGCTCCTTCAGGTTACTGGAGGTCAGATTTTTGATGGCAATAGGGAGCCGAAAGCATTACAGCAAAGGTTTTCAGTTCAAATATATTTGACCAGCTGTAGACGTAAGACATTTCTGTTGATGCTGCTCAGTCAGCTGCATGCCTTAACATGAATGAAAGTAATTATGCAAGTTTAATATTATTTTACACAGTTAGCAACAAGTCAGGGAAATGTTTAAGTATGCGCACCAAAGTCTACTATAGAAGACCGAGCAAAATTGTTGCCTTTAGGTTTCAAAATAAAGACAGTGCAACTTTCGCTTTACATCTCAGAAGTTAAAAGTGGCAAATGGCTTTGATGCATGCTCATGTCACTTGTTATCAGGACCATGCCCAACCAGAATGTCTACAGATCATCTGTGAGATATACAGTAGATCTGCTGAGCATGATGTTGCAACAAATCTATTTTTGACTCAGACTTTATGCACAAGTACAGAGTGAAGTGAGACCCTCACCTCTTAAAAAGACTGAGATCCGATACTTTTTAATTTGAAATTCAGTTCATATTTAACAACCCCCAATTTTCTGTAAATAACCACATCCTGCTTTACCAAGCCACAGGTAAATCTTACAGCATCATATCATGCGTTTCCACAAGTTATTAGGTTTGAAAAATATGCTAGAAGAAGAAAAAAAACAGATGAAGGCTAATTCACACAACTTTCACGCAGAAAATTCACGTGAAAAACAGTCTTCAGCTATTATGGCCATTTCCTTCTACGATAGGTGTGCATCATTCCTCAACACCACTGATATGATAAGCGGTAAATACTCCAGGCCAGACTGATCCTGATTGATGACATACTTCCAGCAAATCCCAAAGACTCTATTTCTGTACATTAATGAACAGCCTAAGCTAATTTCACCTCTCCATGAGTATCGAATAACATCGATGAGCTCATAGCACATGGGTGTATGAAACCCTTCACTGTTAAAAAAGGCAACTAAGCTTCCCATCATTTCATTTTATTTCTTCATCTTTTCTTTTTTTTTAGCGTGCTCTCTCTCTCGCTGCATCCGGAGCAGAACACAGCTGTGCTCAAGCCGACAGACAGGAGACTTAACGACTCACCGAAGGCCTGCGTGTCTTCAGCTCGACACCCATTACTGTAAAATTTTTATTAATGGAGCAGATAGGGAAAATGAAATACTAAGTCTTCTTGTCAATGACCCAGGATTTATCTTTATGTAATGTATACGTTATAAATGTAATTTCGTCAAATACTCACGTCTAAACTTGGGGGGGAGTAAAAAAGTTGGAGTGGACTGGAGAGGTTGCATGCAATCGTATTGATCCAGTAAAAGACATATTCATGTCGTTAATTTCATAAAAAACTGTCTTCATTGTAAACACGTTTTTGCTTCAAAAACTAAAGCACAAATCTCTAAATCAAGGGATCTGAGTTAAGAAAGAAACAAACAAACAAACAAACAAAAAAAAACTATAAGCAAAGCGAAGTGAGAAAATAGTCCAGCTCTCCAGAACTTTGGTTGCATAAAAACACTCAGTTCTGTGGGGGGGGGGGGAAATCTGTGCACTGACAGAAAAATTTAACACCTGCTTCTTAGAAAAAAGCAGGTGTTATGCTGAAATACATAAGTTCAATGCTATGTGGCACATGATTGACTGAAACTTGCAAAGGAGCGGTGGTGCTAAGGAAGCATCCACTTGGTATTAAGGTATATTTAGCAGGCTTTTCAAAGTTAACTTGTTCATCATAACCCAAATTCCTTTTAGTGTCGATACTTTTTTTTAACATAGGATTAACAGACAGGCTTTCTACCTTGAAGGAGCTTGATTTTTTTTTTCAGATTGTCTCGTATTGAACCGCCCTTAGTAGTCAGACAAAAATGTAAAAAACCCCTACTTTTTTTTTTTAAACAAAAATTATCTACTGCTGTTTTAAATGTTATTTCCTTCTTTGTTTCAGCTCTTTCTCAGTGGGGCTAATCCCCTGTTTCCTAAAACGTCGTTTTCACTCTCTGTCCCACCCTCCTGTCCTACTCGGTGCTAATTGTGCGCTACACTAAGAACAGCTCTGAGTGCCGCTCAGTAGCAACGGGATAAACCTCTGGAATTATGTTACTGTTGCAGGCAAAATTAAAAAAAGCAGCAAGGCGTCATTTTACATCCCATTATTCATTACTGAAGCATCACTAGATATCTTGAAACAAATGAAAAACATAAAAATGGATAAATACGAAAGCAACAGACAAGAGGAAGGATCCAATGTTACATCTTTCCTGCTTAAAAAATGACTTGCTTTGAACAGCATTATTAAAATTCCCCTTTTAAAAGTCCCTTTTAATAAGCACCTACTAAAGAACCTCTCAGGAAAACACTTGTCATGATTATATTAGTCAGTTTCCTTTAAGTCAGACCTCAAACAAATACATGTGAAAACCTCCCAAAAACCAGTCTTAGTCTAGCACTTTATAAAAAGAGTCCTAGTTCTGTATTTCACTCCCCACTGTCACATTTCATTCACTATACTTTCTTTGTTTCCTTGCTTTAATCCCACTTAAAATCTGTTGTCTTGGTTAATATTCCTACATGATGGAAAAATGCATTTATCTGTGGGAGTATATGCATAAGAGCATTTTTGGCAAGAGAATGTGTTACCTTTGTGGATTTTCTTTTTGCAAAATATTCTTAATATTTTTTGTCATGTTTGGTATCGATGAAATTAAAACATACATTTGCATAAAATAAGTATATTTTTTTTACAAGCATAAAAATACTAAGTTAAAAGTATATGAAAAACATCTATAAAAACCTGATTAATTTGTGATTAGTCATGAGTTAATAATGGACAACGTGCAGTTAATTATGATTAAGTATTTTAATCAATTGCCCTAATATTAAGGTATATTTGGTGTTTTAACAATTAAAAATGGAGTTACAAGCACTTTTTAGTAGGGGGTCTAAAGTATTGGTTTAAGTCCTTGAAACCCGCAAATACTTGGGACCCACTGTAACAGGCTCATGTTCACTGCCTCATTAAGCCCACTTTGTAATATTTTATATTGTATCTAAGAGTTTACATTTTCGATATAAATGCTACAAAAAGTTGAGTAGACCTGAAATTAATTTGGCATAATACAGTGCTGCTCACTGCCCGGCAGCTCGTAAACAGAAAGCTCTTGAATTATTCATTCGTTTCCAAATAACTTTAATCAGTTCTTTGGAAATATTTCTAGTTGTGAAAAACACGAGACGGTCATGTAGTGGTAAGAAAGGGAGAACCATCTTCCACTAGATAGCAATCCCTGACAGCCATACCCATAAATCCCAACAATGTGCACAAAAGCATAAAGAATCCCGTCATCGCTTACATGAGGTCAAATTGGAAACACTTGCACCTCTTTCTTAAAATGTAGCAGTTTCACACCCACTGAACCACCAGCCAGCACCCTAAATAACATGGTGAAGCCGTTTGCACATATCGCACATCCTTTGCGCCATGTGTGCATGTGTATGCGCAAAGGAGCTTATTCTGAGCTCCATCTGCTCAAGTTGCTGGCTGCAGACCAAGTGATGCGATTCTAAAATTAAATCACTTCCAGGGATTTCAAAATATTCATGATGACTGAGAAATTCCTGAAAATGACGTCATGCGTTGTGTCACTGTTTTTGTTTGGTTTTCTGGGGATGCGATCGGTTGCTTAAAAACATGCTGGAGAAAAATAAATAAAAGTAACTTTATCGTGCTCTTTTCAAGAAAACTCCTGCTCATTTCACTGAGATAATCCCAAACCACATCAAGCACGTACTACTGAAGAACAACTTGTTGACAATGACGCATGGACGCAGAAACCGGAAAATATGCTGGTCAGACCTGTCAACCCAGAAAATAGTCTGAAGCATTAAGAAAACAAATTAGGAGGCTTTGGGAACCACTATTGCATCTTCAAATTAACACGGTTCGTTTTCCGCCGTGCCTACTTTCGTGCACACAAACCAGTTCTGGCACAAATGGCATTCCATCCTAACATTGTTCAAAAGGAAAATCACTAACATTTCAGTGTGTGAGCGTGTCTCTGCAAGCTACTCACTCTCTCCTTCAATTTTGTCAGTGCTTCGCGTCCAGATAATAGTCCGCGTCTCCAGTTTTACTTGAAAAGTCCGTCTCTCCGGCCTCTGGGACTTCTTGGAGTAAAACAGAGTCATTACTGTGCCCAGCTCCAGGTCTCGGTACAGGTTGTTCATCTCCGTGTCGTCCATCCACGGAACAGGTCCGTTGGACAAGAAGCCAGAGGTCCCAGCCATGTTCACTTCCCCCGTTTGTTATCCGTTTCCTCTCAGAACAATCTGCTCGGTCCAGGCCTAGACAGGGTTACCTACAGGAGAAAGAGGGGAGGGGGGGGAACGCATGAAACAACAGTTCCCAAGAGTATTGCAATCCTGTATGTACATTAAACTAGGGCAAAGACTTGGGAGTTAAAACCTGGAAAAAATAATACTGGAACCAGAGCTGCACAATATACTGGATCCCAATGAGCAACGCAGCTTCAATTTGTCCAACATCGTCATCGTCTGTCTGGGTGAAATATTCGATTAGCTACAATATTTCAGCTGCTAAGCATTGGGGGAACTTAATCTGCTTATGTCTTCATCTGATTTAGATCCTAGAGACTAAAATGCAAAAGCAAGATTACTCTAATATTACGCAGCATTGTTTTAATGCGTCAGTTGAACTTCGGCTATTGGTTGTGCTCAACTCTCTTATGCTACTGGTTGATTCCATCTCCTAAGAACAAACAAAAAAGAAAAAAGAAGAAAAAGCTTTTTGTTTGCATGATGAGGTGCTAATTTTCAATGATAATGTAAAACAGACATGCCCAGGTTATTATATGTCCATTTTCTCCCCATTCATTCATTCTTGCTGATTGCATTACTTATTATTGTTGACGTTTCAGCATGGCGAAAATCATATGCATCATCTAAAAATATATAACATGATTAGCTTGCCCAGCGGCTTATCCAGCAGAAAACAAAACAAAACAATAACTTACAATCTAATTTCAGGATTTAACTGTATTGGGTTTCATTGGAAACAAAATACAAGCTGAACAGTTTTTGTTCAAGTCACAGTAACCACTGCTGCTGTAAATGGTGAAAATGTTATTTTCTATAGTGATGACTGTGATGTTTAGGTTGAATAAAAAGACTGTAACATGCTTATACTTGTTCTAACTACTATATAAAATCTGTGCATTCGTACAATGCCCTTTGCCGAGTCTTTTATTGAATTATCTAAAGAGTTTTCAATGCAAATAACCCATGAATGAAGTTTCAATTGTCTTCCATTTTAAACCTACACATAATCTTGAGATCACTTAAATGTTCATTTAGTACACCTATTGAATAAATCGTCTTTTTCGGCATGCAACTCCTGCAGAAATGCTTTACATACTTATTTAAAATCAGAAATGCTCTCAAATGTTGAGCACCCAGAGTCTAAAAATAGACATCTTAAGATGAAGTTATTACCTCTATTTATATTAAACAGACTTAAAAAAAATCCTTCCAGAAAGTAAATTAATGCAATGTAAACATAATTGCTGCTTACTATTTTGCTAAAAATAGTAGGCTAAAAAAAAAAGAAAAGAAAAGCTGAATAAAATTTGGATTTCTGGATCTTGATGAATTACACATTCTTGACTTCTTGCGCCTTTTTTCCAGATGTCTCAGCACAAATCCCTTCAATAAGTAAGTGCAGGATATACATCTGTATCACATTAGAATATAGATTAGAAAAGAAAAATATAGATTCATAAGGAAAAACATACATTTTTAGACATTTCATTTATGCTGCTGACTTTTTTACACAACTTTACATACAGACAGGAGTATTCTTTAATTATCATTAGCAGTAGACAAATGACAGCTCATTACCTCCACAAAACTGTTTTTCTATCATTAGAGGTTTTAAATTAATAACACTACATAACTTTAAAATAAGGATTTTTTTCCCCCCCTTCAATTTAATCCGGAGGATGTCAGGTTTATTTTAATCTAGAATAATGTAAAAGAAGACAACAGGCCCGTGCCCTGCAGGAAAACAAAGCCCCCCTCTGAATACAGCAAGTTTTAAGAAACGACGGTGATAAAGCTGCAAAGGGGGACAAGCGGTCTAACAAGGAGCTTTTCACTATTTTACCAGCGTGGAAATGGGGCCGGAGGCTGCTAGCATTTTGTCTGGGCCGACAGGAGAATATGGCTGGATTTTTCCGAAAAAAACAGGTAGCAGCAGCTACCCTGGCTTTTTCTCATCCCTCTTTATTACTCTTAACGCCCCGGGAGAAATTAACAAGGAGGCGGGGGGGACAACACGTAGCAGGAGCAGGGGAGCTCCGTAACTACCTACCGCAGCAATCTCGGCCCGACCGCACATCTCTAACGGCTGCTCCTCCTTTCTCCTCTAGCCCGACTCCCCTCGTCCTTCTTTCTCCTGCTCCTTTTCCACTCCGCGGACCCGGGTTTTCCGTGAATTAAATCATCACCAGGCCCTCTGAAGGCACCACGAAGCCGACGACAACAGCTACAATCCCAGCAATTCCCCCCTCTCCCCTCCAGCCGTCCATAGAGAGAGGCAGGCAGCGGTGAGCCAAGACTACGTAAGTTTGTCTGTTCTCGGATCCAACCAGCGGAGGCCCTTCCCCCCTCTCAGTCCACCGGCAGCAGCATCATCCCAAGCAGAGTCAAAAAGCAAGCTTCCGCTGCGGATTTTCAAAATAAAATACAAACATGTCCGTTTGTTTTAACAAGCTGATGTTTCACCTAGAATGCAATTAGCAAAATTGATCAGATATTAGCAATAAACTAATTGTGCAAGAACAATTTAAATAGGTAAATAAAACTGTAAAACTATCACACTGGTTTTTGTTTTTGTTTTTTTTGGAATAAACCCTAAATTCCACTTTCAATGTCTATGGTTAAAATGATCTACTTTGGCACAGTTAAAGTGTGGGCTGAGAGTACTTGCTCATGGCTGATTGCATAGTTATTTAAACAAATTTTTAGTCAGTTTTAGTTGCTGATAGGCCATTAGAAAACTTTAAATTTCCTCCCAGATTTAGCTGTATGGTTAGACTCACAGTGATGCTGAAAAAATTAAGTCACTCTTTATCTTCAGCTTTATAACTCACATCCTCTGCTTTTTGGATCAAAAATTAGACATTGGAGTTATTCAAAAAGAAAGCCTAGACCATGATGCGTCCACCCTTCCATTTCACTGAGGGCATGATACTTGTTTGATTATGCTGTGTTGATTTTGTGTCATACAATTATTTGAAACTTTTGGTGTCAGCATCTTTGCAACCTGCCTGACCAGATTTCATATTCCTTTTTTTTTTTTTTAACTAACTTAAGTAAAATAGCCAGCTTTCATAAAATCAGTGCTGTTCTACATTTTCTCAAATTATTAATTTCTACATTGTGTCTTGGTTCCTGTGAAACTTTTTGTACAATTCCTCTAATTTAACAATATGTCAGCAAGCTGTAGTTTTAACTGAAGGAATACAAATGGATGAATCCAACTAGGACAGTATGTTTTTTTCTTGGTTTCATTCAATGCAATGTGAACCCTGAAAGAACGAATCCTGAAACTGAATCAAATAGTGCTGTAGCAAAGCATGTGTGGACAAAGACTACATGCTTTTTTATCTTTACAATCTTGTTTTTTAAAAAAAAAAAAAAAAAACAGTCTATCATAACTGAGGCGTATAGACTTCTGACAACCATTGTAAGCTTTGATTTTCCTCAAAAATTTAGTTTGAAACAGACTACGAACGTAAATCTTTTATTTTGAAAGTATTAACCTTACTTCCGGAAGCTCTTTTGAAGTTTCACTGTAAACTTCAGGTAACTTTTTCTCAGTAGAAGCGCCTATTTCAGTTTCTTTCTCCTAAAACCTTTCGATACGGTTACAGTAAGAACACCGGCCACTGTTTATTGTTTTCATTCAGCTGTTTCACAGCATGTCATTGAAAACAAAAGACAATAGAGAGATACATTCATAATGAAGAAAGTGATATTAATATTGAGTATTATTTGCCTGACTCTACCTGATGAACTCTAAACAGCTAGTTTTTAATTTTACTGTGGAAAAGATTAGGATAGAAGACAAACAGAACAAGGTTGATGTTTTATTCTGAAAACTACAAAGCTCTCAACAACAAGCTTTCAAATCAGCGTGGGATTGTGTGATAAATGATCAAATAACAAGAAATATTCATGACAAAAGTTATTCATTCACATTAGAAGATTTCTCAAAGACATGTCTTGCTCTATTATAGCGTTACAAAAACAGCACACCTACAAGGATAGATGATGTGATCATTTTTGGCAAAAATCCACACCCGTCTGTCGGAGGGAACAGTCTCTTTGAGCTCTGGCACACAAAAACATGATGCTTCAGGCATTTTAAGTAACCGAAATCACCGTTAGGCCTTGTTCACTGTAAGACTGAGGAAACACACACTCACTAAAGATTTGCAATAGCGCAATAAGGGCTTTTTGTTGAGGATGCATACAGCACACGCTTCAAAACAAAACAAACAAAAAAAAATGACAATATGTACATCCCTGAAATAAACAGCATGGATAAAACTTGACATTCTGTGTGCTAATGTGTGTTAGCATAGTGCTAGAGTTTAGTTCCTCGCCAACGCCACTTTGTCCAGCTTAATTTAAAGAACACCACCTAAACATTCGTCAAAATCATCATAATCTCTTATGTTATTGAAAAACATAATAATTTATTATTCTATCAGAATTATTATTCCATAGATCTGATGGCTTAGCATCTCAGAACATTTAATCTGACACAACATAATACTTAACGTGATCATGGTTGCTGGAATACGGTCAAAGAGCTGCAGCTACATACACAATATCATAATGTTTCTAAGGAGAGATGCCGTATGGGGCAACATGGTGAGATCTTTCAAGAGTTGATTTTCGCCTGTACACAACCGGTCGATATTTACAGCATGATTATTAAACCTGTCTGTGATCACAGCTTGGGTGCCGTCTTGGCTTTGTCCCACAGCCGTCGCACAGTGGAATCGTTTGACATCGGCGACAAACCATCTGTACAATCAAAGGCTTGAGTAGAAATGTTCAAATAGAAATACTAAGTGCAGTTAAAATTCATAATCCTTTTCGGCCATGTCGATCGCCCAGGCAAACTTTTCCCTCTGGGTCTTGTTGTAGATCTTCTCAATTGGAATGCTCCACTTCTTGCACCTGGACAGAAGGGAAGACGAACCAATTAAGGACAAAAGCACGAGCAGCAGTTTGTGCTTCTAATTCTAACTCTTCTTCACTGAAGCAAGATTGGACTAAAGTTGTTGTATTTCAACACGGCTGCCGGTTTTGTAATAATTTGTAGAAATTTCTGGAGTTGTTTTAGCTGAATAAAAGATATGATCTCTCTCTAAGAACTTTCAAACTTTTCGGTCAGTTTTGATGCAGAGGAAGTAACATTATCATGTTAATGGTACCGACGAAGGAATGGGATAAACAGATGTATTCTTATTTCTGAGGAAACAATGGTTGCCTTTAAAGGTCTCTCATGGTCTTTAGATAGTGTCTTCCACAGTTTAAAGTTTTTTAATTGTAAAAAAAAAAAGAAAAGAAAAAGAGGTTGCCAAAAGCTGAGTTGGACCCATGTGCAGAAAGATGGCAGTATCATATTGAAGATGATTTATTTAAAAGAGGAGAACATGTACAGGTACTAAAAATACATATATGAGAATATAATGGTGACAGGCAGGTAATTGGAATTAGAAGTGAGAGAAACTGGCAAGCTGATAAATGTGGGGGAGGTGATTAGTGGAAACAGGACCGGGTGAGTCTAATCAACTGCATAAATGGCACCTGTGAGTGAAATTGAATTATGGTAAATATGTATGAATTAATCCAAGAAGACTTAACTGATACAAAGCCAATAACCAGAACTAAAACAAAACGCAAAAGAACACCATGGAAACAGAGCCGAGTATCAACAACACAACAGAACTCTATAAAAGCCAAACCCAACCAGACCAAGGCACGTGTATCACTTCCACTTTGTATTGGTCTAGCATGGTTCTTTTCTGAACCATGAAGTTCAGAAAAGAACTTCATGGTGAAATATTACTTGCATAACATATATATTTTAATTTTATCATTATTAAAACTATTATCAAATTCCACAAATCAGCAATACAGTAATTTAGCGGGATGAAGTGAACTGGCAGGGTCCTGTAGAAACACAGACTGTTCAACCAACTAACCTTTTTCCCTGTATTGTCACAGGTCCTACACTGTATGCCATGTTTCCAGGCACCACCCCATTACTGGGACACCCCATCCCTTACACTAAAGCAGGGAGCATTCCTTCGTCCATTGTGCCTGAGGACAAGTTTCTCCATAAATAGCAGTGGAGCATCGTTTAGGGAGGGCGGGCCACTGTCCCCCCCTTTCTCTGAGGCATTCTGCCACAGACAGTTCCTCATGGACTTCCCACATGGAGGAAGGAGAGCTGTTTGGGGACGCTCCCTAGCTTTCAGAAACAAACCCCATTGTTCCTGGCGCTCACACGCTTTTTCTTCCTCTCATTTTCATTCTGCAGCCACTAGCTTTTTTACCTCTGCTGCTTCTTTTCCTACAATGCAAGGCCGTTTCCTGCCTTTTTTTTGTCACCGAGGTAGATGTGAGGCCCACACGGCCAGCCACACACAAACAAATGGCTGGCGTGTGCATCAATCGGTTTTCTACCCCAACGTTCCAGCTTTTCACCCATAGAATTCCCAGGGTCGGAAGAAGGAAAGTGCGTAAATACCAGGCAACAGAGATCCGTGGATCCAGGTAGTTGAGCTTGGAGGTGCCCAGAGCAATCTGCTTGTTCTCCTCTCTGTCCGTGGCTTGCACCTGGAGTTTCATGAGCTGCTCCTCTATCCTCTGCACGGCTTTGCGCTTCACCTCAACAGTCCTGAGAGCGAGAGAATACAGAAACAAGGGTGCTTGAAATAAGCCAGAGCTTTTGATGAAGAAATAAAAACACGCATCATGCGGACGTTCAGCTGCGGAGGTTAAAAAAACGTATTTCCTTTCTACCCCAAAATGGACAGAGAGTGTTAGGAAAACACTTTACTGACAGCTGACAGCTAACAGCTCTCAGGCGTTCTCACTTTCTACTCTTTTCATCATGTGAGGCCTTGTGATCGGCCTTGGCGGCCTTCAGCTGCTTCCTGGCTGCAGACAGCTGCTTTTGTTTCTCGTCAATCTGCATCACAAACACACGGTGGATGAGGAAATTAGTGTAGATGATGCATCCTTTTTTTTTTTCTTTTTTTTTGCTTCCTAAAATAACATTTACTACGGGATGGTTACCTTGGTCTGAAGATTCTGCATGGACTTCTCAAATGTTTTGGGCGGAGCTCTCTGGTGGTTACACAGGATGGCTACGGCTCTGTTAGCTCGGTTGTATGACAGGATCTTAGCTGGGATGCTGTCCTCAGCTGTGAACCCAACAAACAACAACAGAAACGGATAAAGAAGAACATTTCAAAGAAACACAGATGGTTGGAGTGAATGGAAGTGAAGCTGCTCACGGCAGGTAAGTTCCTTGAGCTGCTGCTGCAGGGTGATGGAGGCATTGTAGGTACGGAAAACTTTGGCTGTCAGTCCATCCATCAGCTCCTG